TAAATTCTTCTGAATATTCTGTTTGAGTACCAACTCTTAGTGCTGCAGATTCATAATAGGTTACACAACCTGATGTGATCACAGACAAATACCCTCCATGTTAAAAGACATGTGAATTTTCACTAATACTTCCCAATTCCCCATTCTGGTTTACTAACCATTTAGAATGTGCAGCAAGTAATCAAATACTTCCCAGAGCAATCTGGGAAATCCTCTCATCAGCCTGCCAAAATCCTTTAAAAGTACTGTTACATACAAAACCCCCACTTACCTCTCTTAAATAGTATGAAGCTTTAAAATTACACTTGACCTTAAAGCCTTGTATTTAACGTAATTTAATGGAAATCCAATAGGAAAGCCAGAAATTTACCTCTAGGACTAGAGGAAATGATAACCTGCTTATCATCAGAAAAACAAAGTGCCATTTTTATAGCAAATTGTCACCCAACACAAGACAATGCTGTGCTACGAGTACCTGTTATTATTGATTGCTGTCCCCAATCCAGAAGCAGATACCTGTCAACTGCCAAAGGCTTTTCACACTCCATAATCCATCGATCTTTCACTGATCATCCACAATCTTTTGCGTAAGTCTTCTAAAAAAGTGAGCAGGGCGAGATTGCTAATTAGAACAAAAGTGTATTTAAGACATCACAGAATGGTATTTCAGGATAATCTAAGGGCTGGAGTAAGATAATTAAAAAAAATAATTATAAATTACCAGATATTTACCATTTCAACAGAGACAAAATAGAAAATTATAATTGTTAACCAAGTGAAAAAAAGCAGATAAAGCCCTTTTGCAGCGAAGGTTCTCATTTCAGTCTCAGGCCAGCTCCTCTACTACAGCACCTTACATGCACAGACAACGGCATGTTTTCATTTCCCCCATTCAGTTCAGATATGATACACACATTGACGTGCAGGATACTGTATCCTATCTGCGAACTGCTACATTCAGTAATTAAACTAATGAGCCTGATTATAGGTCAGAGCAGATGTCTAGAACCAGGCCGTGTAAGATGATTTTGTCAGTGTTTTCAAAGCCCATGATACTATAAACATGCACATACCATCTTGTAACACTGCCAGAATCGGGCCACCAATCATTCGATGGGACAAACACCAAACACACCTAAAAAAAGAGGACATGTCCCCCAACCAAAAAAGCTGATATTTATTTGGGAATGCATTACTGTGCTTAGGAATTAAGGATCATTTCTAAAAATAAATAATTAGAAAGCAGCTCTGATGCAGCCAGACATTTTTACACTGAAGTGCAAAGCAAAGGCCGATGCTCTCAGACTTACACAATTACTTTGGAGTGTGGCTGTCCAAAACACCAGCAGATTTAATACTTCTTAAAATGTTATTAAAATAAGAAACATTTCTTGGCTCACTTCCCCTTGCTGTTTTCATCCATAAAGAACTACAGACTCCATTTTAAGTTAAAGGTGCTACAAGCCTAGACAAGTGGACAGAATTTGCTAGTTCTTTACATTTAAAGATGCTGATGGCAAAAACATATACACAGAATCAGCTCTCCTAGCATGCTGTTATAGTTCAGACACTTGGGAACTTCATACTTGTTTCTCCCTCTACCGTTATTACAAAAGACCCGACTACTTCAAGCTGAATAACATACAGCAAAAATTTTTCAAGAGTTTAGTATTTAAATTGTATACCCTCCCACTCTTCTCTGATCTTAAATTCTGATTATTTGAATTATCAGGTGCACAGACAGGCTGCTTGCTTTGAAGCATGCGATGCCCAGCCTGCAGACAGCCCTTCGTCTGGAAGCAATGACGCAGCGGCACATACTGCATTGCTGAACCAGCAGAATTCTCTACACTGTTTTCTAGCTTTGCATGTGGAGACCACTTCTGATCATCTACTACTGTTTATCAAGTTCATCTACTACAGTTTCTGTCTTAAAATAAATTATAGAAAAATCAAATTGGAATTGACTTCGAAAGTCTTCCTTTAAAGTTAACTTGCCCATGGAGAAGGTGGGCTTACATCCTCTGCAGGCTTCACTTAGCTGCACCTAGTTGCAGATACTAGGATTACTATATGACAAAACCAGTGTCATTGCCAAAAATTCCTTAAGAGTTCAGAATATATAAGAAACGCTCTTCTTTTCAGCAACCCTATCCACAGAGCAATATCACCATTAAAAGTTCAATGTTTACTACACTACAATCTCAGAAATTACACTTTTAGACAAAGAAGCGACAGTAAGTATTCAGTTTTAGATCTTTTATGAGCAAAGATGTTTTAATGTGTCACATTTCAAGAGCATTAATCTTTCTTTACAAGAAATCACTTCATTGATTTGGAGCTAGAGACATCCACAAGACATTCTGCAAATTAAAAGTGCATGGAATACATGCATCATCCTTCATACATAAAATATTTTGCAATAGGATTGAGAACACAGTAAGTGTTAAACAATATTTAGAGTTAAAAGTACCTGAAAAGAATCTCTCCTTGGAGAGAGAGATTAACAGAACATCCTCCTGGACAGCTGTGCAAGTTCTCAATAAATGCTTTTCTGTACAAGTGGTTTAAAAATCACACAGCAAGTTCTGGAATATTCAAAACAATGATTTGATACAACAAACATTCTACAGTTACCTCAATTCCATATTGTTTTGTTACAAACAGTTATCATGGCCTACATCCTGTGTACTGGTGCTCAGACTCACGGCCTCACCCAGGCAACATTATCTGTCTCAAGAGACCAAATTTTACTTCTTGTACTAAAGCCCAAATGGGTGACTGAATAAATTCAGCAGCTTTTCCAGCACCGAACCCCTCCCTCCCATGTAACTAGACTCATTCAAATTTCAGATATTAAGCAGCAGACTTATCAAGGAGAGGTCATGTATAAACAGCACAGTCAAAACCCACATCAGATGTAGAAGACTAGCGGTTGAAAAAACGTGTTGAGCATCTTTGAAGGCAGAAGTTTCCAACACCACTTCTAGAGAGAAACAGGACAAAAATAAAAATGAAATTTAAAAAAAAAAGTTTGTCATTTCAATAACTGTGTTTTGTCATTCAACACAGCATAAAGCAAAATAGTTTGTTTATGCAGTGATGAGGGAAACTTGAGAGAGAAACTGAAGTCGTCACCTGTCCTGTGAGAGATCAAGTCCAGAAATCAAGACTAAAACCAGAATTACATTTGCATTTTAATACAAGTGTGCGTGTTGGAAATTTAATAGCAATAAAATTGAGTTGAAGAAAACCACACAGCATAAAAATTATCTGGAGCTACACACTGGCTAGTAAACCAAATTAAGACAGAAAGGGTGGAAGGACATTAACTCATTTGCCACCACCATCACATGTTCATTTAAACTGTAAATGCAGTAGCTTCTTCCACTTTATCCATGTAGAAATGTTCCTCAGAAAGGAATTATAATGCACAAATGAGTACTGTGCAGCCAGATGGACTTGACATTCTAACACTGACAGCCTAGTGACAGACATAACGAAAGAGCAAAGATGCTCCATGATTCCAAGTATGGCACAGCAGCCAGGGGAGTGACACAAGAGCCCTTCCAAATCTGAGCTAGCAAGAGAAAAAATGACTTTGAAAGTTTTTGTAACAGTGAGTATACCTTGTAGTAAATATACTCTTGCATCTGGCTACTACATTTATTAAGATCCATGATTTTCACATGAAGTTCCTTAAAGAAGCAGATACTATCACTAAACAATAGTTTTGTTCCAGCAACATCTGATGATTAATGACTGAGCTTTATACATGTAACTATGTATAATTAAGATACAGTAATAAAATTCCTTCTGAAAATCCCTACCACTAACATGACAACACCAAAGCACGCAGGTGTTGCAGGCTCAAATCTGTTTGACACACGTGTAACACCCGTTCACAGTGACAGAACCGCATGTAAGCTTCCAGAAATACCTTCCTATCTAACCCCATCCCACCACACTTAGGGGTTCCTGGCTTTTGCCAGTAAAGTTACTTCCATGTCCATGTGCATAAACTTAACAAATATTGAATGTACTTTTGTGGAGAGAAAAGACTAGAATTTACACACATCCTAGACTGACACTTGCTCCTTTTACAAGTATGCATATAAATCTGCTTTGGGTGAATTCATTTAACAGGAACCTTTTAATTTGTTGCCGGAACTCCTGACCAAACTTAAGTCTTCTTTGGTCCTTCACCCTAAAAACAACTTCCCATTCGTCAAACCATACAAATGTGCAACAGACTTCTAAAAAACATTGGCTTCCTATGTGAAAAGACTATTTCAAAGTAAGTGTGACCTATCATAAGTGTAATCTTCCTTTCTGGAAAGCTAGCTACTGCCATGCCATGGTAGCCTGACAGGCAGGTCAGAACCAGGGGCAAAGCTAGACCCTCGCAATGGAACTCAGTGCCAAACCCAGAACCTGGCTTCAATGCGGTATATCTAGACCCTGATGAGTAAATCACAGTATTACCATCACATCAGAAGAAGGTCTAAATGAAGCTGCAACTCCAGCTCAACATTCTCATCAGTAAGAATAATGGAGTAAATCTGTACTGACCAAGTGAGTTAATTTTGGTAAAAAACTGACCTCCTTTACTGACTGCACTTCACAGGCTAAACTGACTAGCCACTGCTTTCAGTTTCTCCTGTGTACTTTTTCTTTTTTGCCCTACAAGTGATCTGAAAACTAAAAGCAACACAAGAAATGCAAAATATGTAGCATACGCTTTCAGAAATTCTTTAGTTTCTGACCATTAGAATACAACTTGAATAACTGACATGTCTTGATGTGTGCTTAGGAACACTTGTGACAGGTAAAATAACTCTTATTATCTACAGGTATCCTATCCAGCAACTTTCCTCCTAGTCATCACTATCTGTGAAGTGCACCATTGCTAATTGAGCTATTTACAAATGTAAACTATGTAATTAAAGTTTTAAAATAAATAGACAACCTTTACATTAGGTAGTGACTCGACAACAAGGTAATAGATCATCCAACTACATCTTTCAAGCAATATGATCTGTGTGTATGCTGCTCTTTTTTTTTTAAATGAAGAAAATCCTTGGCTCACAATCTATTCTGCAAGAACTTCATTGGATTTCTTCCTTTACGCTGGATAGTTGTGCAAAAACTCCTTAAGTTTTGTTGGATAGTCTGTCATCACTCCAGTTGCTCCCAGATCAAATGCCCTCTTGTATTCTTGTTCTTCATTCAGTACCCAAATGTACACCTGTAAGATGGGATAAAAAGACAAAATATTATAGGAAATACTCAAATTAAAAAGGGTGATTTTTGACCAAAATTGTTTCATGTGAGAGAGATGATGCTGCATGTATTTAAAATGATAAATGATTACACTGTGATGCCAAAGACATGCACACAAACATATCCAACTTCTTCCCCCTTGCCCTCCAAAAGGACATTTTCTAGTGGTGACTCTAACTCCCTTTCGTTACCCGAGACTTCAGATTTTTCTAAAAGTCAAAATACTGTTTAGTGAAAAGTCCAAAACAGGTAAGCAGTTCAGCTGATTTTATAGGCTTAAGTTTGAAGTAGGGGGGAAAAAAAGGGGGATTTAAGAGTATTTTTCCAAGAATACAATTTTTCCTTTGCAACTACAGAACTGCAAATACAACAGCATAAGCTACTGCTCAGAAACCAAAAAGCGACTTAGAATCCTAGCAACACAACAGAACATGCTGGGGAGAACATGAACCCTTCTTAAGGTCATATCCGGCTGGTTCAAATTCTCACTAGGTTAAAAGCACACTTCCTTTAGCTTTGCCACACTGTACCTGAATGCCCCGAGCAGTGAGGTGGTCAAAAAGTGCTTTCCGCATGAGCAATCTGCATAAAGGAGAAATGTATTATTTACGAACATGAAGTATATATGAAATTTTCAATGTCTGTTGATGTTCTGCAATAAATTTTCCACAGAGCATTTAGAGTCAATGTTTTCCACAAGAAAGTGATTAGAAGAACCTAATAATATAAAACTTTTAGTTCAAACAACTCAAGACTGGTTAGCGCAGATACCCAGGAATTTGCATTATCTATGGATACTTTTATCAACTCTTCTGAAGAACAAATTCAGCAGATTCCTCCATTATCGTACAGGTACTCCATACCATGCCCAATGAATCAATCCCTTTGCTTTCAGAAGAGATTTTATCCTTCCCACCAGAAGACACGAAAACTCTACTGGCCGCTCAAGAAATTAAACCAACAGGTGTCAGACACAGAAGCAAAAGCCAGAAGACACTTAACTGCGGTTATATTCAACCTCTGAAAGCATATGACTAAGTCTCCTGTAAAGCACAGATATTCTCAAAGTGCAAAGTGTTCCATATCAGCCAAACAGTATCTCCTCTGAGAACATTATGAAACAGTCACAACCCCATGAAACACAAAAGCTGCATTCTGAATCTACTTGCATGAACATAGCAACAGAAACTAAATAGACTAAATTGGAATAATGCCCACTGTTACTGCACCTCGGTATGTTTCAGAGTATGAAAAATAAACTCACATAGGAACACCTATGTAAGATTTGAATACGATTTATGCTACACTGTCAAAAAAGCTAGAAGAAACTGGAAAAAATGACAACATAACAAGTAGCTAGTCTTAGTTACTCGAGCCAACTGTTAATATACTGTCAAAATATAAATAAAAATTTAATAAGATAAAAATCTTACGTGTCAGCTAGCCAGATAATAAATTTCTGGCTTCTTGTCATCTTCTGTGGTTCTTTCAGCCTGTCGAGGAAGAAAAAATTAACAGAGCACAGATTAAAAAATTATTTGAGATGTTCCTGCAAAAGGAACATGAGGAATTAACCTTGCAGTTTCTCAAACTAGTGCAGGACTTTCACTGTCTAAGACAGTGGCTTAGAATTGGGTTACACAAGAGAAATGTGTTGCATTTAAGAGAAGCAGCAGAGAGGGGCATTCAGCATCGTTTGGAGTAAAGTATGAGAAACAAAGAGCATGTGAAATCTCATATCCACCTTATTACTGGCTTGCCTCGCGATCTTATTCAGACTAATTTGTTCTCAAGAAAGAGGGAGAAAAGTGCAAGAATTAGTTATTTGTACAGCACTGCTACCTATCACTATCTAGACAGCATCAGCACAAGCTGCGTCATAAAGGCAGCTGCGTGAAGGCGGTATCTACAGAAGATGCTGTAAACAGGAAACATTGATATACACAGGCACCCCACACTAACAACTGAGTTACACAGAGCTGGCTAGAGATAGGATAAATACAGAGGAGCAGAAGATTTGCAGAGATTTCTCTCAGGAATATACAAAAGTACCTAAACTAACAGAACAGTATCCTGAGGATACTGACAAAACCAATGCTCAGGCTGGCATTATCATTCACTTATTTTATTATTATTTCAGTGCAGCACCCACTGACGGACTCTAACTCACTTGAGGATGATTGAAGGCATGGGAATTTCCAAGAATTCTTCCTTGAAAGGAATGAATGGCAGCAGACCAGTGTAGAACAGGCCAAGAAGCAGGAGGACACGTTGCAAACAGAAAATGATGGGAATATCAGCATTCTGGAAGAACCAGGAAAGAAAGATTCTAAATTATCTTGGTAGATTATCAAGTCTGTTGCAATTACATTTACTCATCAATGCATGTTTCAAGTTTAGCACTTGCACCTAAAGATTAGGCTGCCAACTGTTTATGATGTGCCCACCAGTGAATTTAAATTACTCTTTCTAGTAGCTTGTAATCCACGGAAAAGTTTTACACAATTTGAAGGGGCACTGGGACCTGAAAAGGTAAAGTTTCACTGGTTGCAGCACTGCTTTGGTTACATGCCTTCATCATCTTTCCAGACTGCACAACACTATGCAGCATTTTGTCGTAGACTAGTATTACTGCAAAGAACAAGCTGTGCTTGAGTACAGGACTTGTTACAGCTTGATAGCACAGCAACTCGCTTCACAACACATTTTTAAAGATGCTGGTTTATGAACCAAAATATTTGGGCAGTGATGTTACAGAAATGCTACACAAATGGAAGTGCTGTTCAGGTAGGAAATGGTGTGTTGTCCTGCACAGATAAATCAGAACAATATCTGTGCTCTCAACTAGATCAATTTCACTCAGGTGCATAACTCCCTCAAACTAAGTACAATTTTAATTTAATTCAAAACTGTACAGTTCCTCAGCACAAAAAGGAACAGAATCTATAGCTGTAAAGCAGCTTTATACCAATATAACTGTCAGCTAGCGACCACATCCGTTATTTTGATAAAAAGAAACACACAATAATCAATCCTTGAAAAACTGCTTTTGTAGCAGATGAACGATGTGCAAAATAGGCTCCAAGAGTTCCCAGCATAAAATCATAACACCCTATACTTTATAGAACAAGAATGAAACATGATTAAGCTTAATTCCTCAAATACTTTATTGCAGAGTATACGGGTGTTAACTGTGCTTGACTTATTGTAACAGTGTAGTAAGCCAAATACAATCTAAGCATAAAACTTCTCATCACATCTAGAAGTCTGGCATAGCTGGCTAGATCATGATTTACAGAGTGCTTTTCTGTATATTTTGTCACCACAGAGTGACAAGCAGGCAAGAAGAATGAAGCTGGACCCATTCTTACCTCCTTAAGACACTTTGATACAACCTCGTAATTGACATTCCCCCATACCGTCAAATGCTCTCGCTTATACTGACTCACCAGCTCTGAAACCTGCAATATAAAAAAAAGCAGAATCCTGACATGTGTTCATTGAAAATGATGTGCAGCATTATTTAACTGAAATTCTACTTGCTGCTTTTCACTACATTAGTCATTACAAAAAGGATAGTTCTTCTACACTCTCTCCCAATATAAGATGATTGTGCTGCTTTGACTGGAAAGAAATAGGTGTTCATGTCAACAGCAAAAAGGAAAGACCATCATCCCTACAAAACACCCTACGTAATTCAAGAAAACGAGATGGCAAAATAGTATCTGATGGGAAGCAGATTTCCTCTTCTGTGATGAACACTTATCTCTGCACAGACGTCATGTTTTTATGCTGCTTTGGTAGGCAACAGTCCCTAAGAAGACTCTTCATATGAAGTACAAAACAAACATGTCTCCAGCAGTGCACTATCAGTTTCATGTCAAGATAAAGGGTCAGTAAAGAGCTGTTTGCTGAATATCTTGCACAAGATCACTTCTCTGTCTTCTGTATTACCTCATACGTGGAGCAAGATCTAACATGTGAAGGATGAAGGAGTCTAAGAACAAATTTCAGTGTCACAGACTGCTAGCAACTCCAAGAAACTTTTCTTTTGGAATTTCAACATCATTACATGCAGTGTGAGGGTGGTGAGGCAGCGGCCCAGGTTGCCCAGAGAAGCTGTGGATGCCCCATCCCTGGAGGGGTTCAAGGCCAGGCTGGATGAGGCTTTGAGCAACCTGGGCTGGTGGGAGGTGTCCCTGCCCATGGCAGGGGGTGGAACTAGATGATCTTCAAGGTTCCTTCCAACCCAAACCATTCTGTGATTCTATGACATTCAGTCTCAGTTCAGTGTAGATTTTCATGTACCTTTTTGATCAACACATTGTTGTTCATTTTGATGTCAATGTTGACAGGAGTTTGTGGAAATGCCTCAAACACCTCTTTCAGGAGCGGAATACGGTTGTCTTTTCCCTCGCAGTGACATTCTGGGGAAACAAGAACATTGACACTGCTTTGACCATTTTTAATACACTGCAGATAAAAGCCAAGATATCAAAGCAATGATGGTTTTTTTTATCTTAAAATCAAAACCAATATATAGTTCCTAGAATCAGCAAATTTTTTAACTGAAAAAAAATTTCCTTGACTCGAATAGTTGTAACTCATTATGACAAGCTCACTTCCATAATGAAAATGCCCTAAGCATGGTGCACATTTAGCTTTGAACTTCATAAATTCAGACGTTATTTAGTGTCTGTAGGAATGCAGGCATTGTTAAAATCCTGAAATAGCAAACAGGTTCAGTTACCACATACCAAATGCAATGAAATTGATATGAAATGAGACCAAATGAGAAAAACTTTTCTTTCTAGGAAAATTTACTGGAGAAGCATAATGAGTAAAGGGAACAGAAGGCAAACCCAAGTCATACATGCAGTAACTACTACTCTTTCCATTTGCCCTTCTGAAAATGTCTGTATTAGCGGACAACTCCGCTAGTACTTCAAGCCCAGAGTGCACCAGCACAATGGCATCTGAGTTGTAAATAAACCCTTCTGCCTTCTCTTCGTTTTTTCGGAACAACAAATTTTCAATCAGCACCCTCTGAAGAGCTCACAAGGGAACTGGAAAGCAACTGCAGGAAGTAGACAAGCAAACAATTGAAATGTTTACTTGGAAAAAGATATCTCACATCTCAAGTTTAGCCACTGCCAACTGGTATGAAAAAAGCATTTTGGTTTCTAAAGCTAGGATTATATTTGCTTTTTAAAACTTCTCTTATCAAGATACTGACAGAAGCAAATCCACTTTTCTACTCCCTTTGCCAAAGTAAGAAATTGCCACACTAAAATAATGGGAAATTTGTTACTGTTACTGTAAATTGAAACAGCAAAAGACAAAACCTTACCTTTCTGAAATGTGACATCCAGCTTGCAGAGATATGGTGGAAGTTCCTTAAAAATAAAGGGAAATGGAGCACTAATTCAAATACAGGGATATAATAATGACTTTTCTCCAAAAAGACAAAAAAATATAATTCGTAATCCATATGTTATCTTTAAAGACAAAGATAATATTAAAAAAAAAAAATCTTCCTGCCCAAAATTGATTTAGAAGCACTGTGCTCATTCTTGAACTATCTGGCATTCTTAGACTTGTGTTACCTGTATCTGAAAAAGACAAAATGTTTCCAGATGCCTGGCTGAAAATTCTGAGAATTCCACTTAAATATCAGATGGAAAGACAGTTCTGGAAAACAGGCTTTTAAAACTGTCAAAGCAGGAGGGATTCATCTACTGGTTCTCCCATTAAGAAGCTGGGCATACGAGAGCCTGTTGACTAACCTTCCTTTGTCATCAGGATGGCAAAACAGGTCCACCTCCAGAAAGCTTCACAGAACCTACTACTGGACAGAGTTAATCGCCCTCTGGGAATGAGCCGGTTTTGATCCTTTGACTACCCAGGAGCGTAGTTAACTTTTTTTTTTTCAGTAAGACAAGATGAACCACCTCCTCAGATTTTGGATTCTAGACATACACACACATGCACACAACCTTGCTGCCCACCCCAGCCATACTATAAACACATTTTTAAACATCATCTAGCACCAACCTTTTTTCTTCAACTTACAGAGTATTTGAGGTCGGATATGTTGACATCAACTCCCGTGGACCTCTTCAGGTTCTCATCATGGGACACAACCACTTGCTCATCTTTCGTCAGGTGACAATCTAGCTCCAACATGTCTGTTCCTATATTAACTGCACTGGAAGCACAGAAGTCTGCCTTGAACCACACATGTATTTTGTACAGATCCAAACCTAACACATAACGTGTTATTCAATTAAACTAATCCCACTGGAAGCACTGTAGGTGCTCTATGATGCAACGACTCCTCACAGTCTTGCTGCAAAGCAAGAAGCAAATAACTGCTGCAGTGGGAAAGCCGATGCAAGAGTAAACAACATCTCACAAATCAGAGATGGGATTTGAACTGGGGCACTTTGGCTCCATCCCCCACAGAAATCAAGCAGCACACCTGTCGATCGCAGCCTACCACCTCAGCATTGAGAAACCTACTGCGAAAGCATTGTTTCAGAATTCTGAGTGGGATGTTTATTACTATCAGCACATTTACCACTGGAAGGAATATGCTCTTTTAAAAGAAGTAATAAATTTTGTGGTAAGTGTAAACAAATGACAGGGATGCAAAAGCCTTTTTTTCACTTGATTGAAGTTAATCAGGAATGGATGGATCAGGAAATTAGCAATGGTACTTTCAGGCTTTTGGCTTTTTGGATAGCAAAACTACATTTTTTTAAAAAAATATTCTTATTTTAATTAAAAAGTTTTAATTTTAACTTAAAAAAACCCCCAAACACTAAAGCAGCCAGTCATATTTTTCAAAGAAAAATAGCTATTCCTGTTCCAATACACCGCTTTGAAAAGTTCTAATCCAATCCCAAATCTGCTCTATAGAAGCTTAGCTCATTGGAGTAGTAAAAGCAGAAAGTACTAATACCGATGAAAAATAAGTGCAAGAAACCTCACAGCAGAACAGAAAAACAAAGCTTTACTCCAACAAGAAGTGAATTGCTCATTTCATTAGAAAATAAACTCAGAAGGTATCATTCCAGCAGACAGCTGAAAGTCCCAGCCTGAAGGCTGCACACTTTCTTCAAAACACTGCTCTGTTTTTGTTTTTTTTCTAATCCACCTATAAAAAAACCCTAAACATCTGCGAGTACAGCCTACACGGGACCCAAAGCTTTGGAGCTTCAGTAACAGCCTTTTCCTTAAGAAAAGGGTTTTATTGACTGCTGAAGTACAGACATGCCATGAACGTTCACAAATGCAATAATAAGCAAAAAAAAATAAATTAGAACATACTTTCATAAGCGTCTAACACAATTTCTGGTCCAGCTGGGATAATGATCAAGAAGGGGGTTGTCAAATTAAAACCAATTTGTTAACTGTTTTCCAGTGCCACTAATTAAGAATTAGGAGAGGAACAAAATCCTCTTAACACATGGAAAATACACAGCCTGTTCTGTCTAATTTTTCCTCCTGAGGAAAAGCATCTCCAAATATGCCTCAGGAGATTTGCCAAATTTGTAGAAGACATTCCCATCTAGTACCACATATTCAACCAGCAAAATTTATTAGAAATATTACTACTTAAGAAATTCAGGACTAATGCTGCATGGAAAAAGGAGAACAACAACTTGCCTTGTTAACAAATTTGAGAATTTGCCAGGCTCTTACTAGCAGCTTGCTGCTAAATAAGCTTCCTTAAAGTGCTGAGGTTTCTTTGGCTGGAAATCAGTTTGCTCTGAAGCTCTGTAATAACACCTCAAACCTACATTGCTCCAGAGTGCACTCCAGATGTCCTCCAGATTCAGAAGAACCTGTTGGTAGAGGATCCAATTGCTCCAGAACACAAGTTGTGAAGCGGACTCACACGTGCAAATTAGGATGACAGAGCTTTTTGCTTGTGTTTCACTCCAACTGTTTTCCAGTAAAAGGGCATACCAGGAAAAATACAGGAAAAGCCTTACCTTGGAAACTACATTCCATCAGGCAAGGCTTAGTGTAGCACAATGTATGGAGTTTATAAATACTAAATCGACCAGGTACTTTCATTGCTGTGACTGCAGTGTTTAAAGCTTTCTCTCTAAACCAATTATGTTCATAAAAGAAATGCAAATACAACGAGAAAAAAATGTCTGGAGAGTTTACTTAGCAGCTTCCAGTCAAAATGCTGAAGTATATGGTTGTATTAGGGACAACTGAACTCATAATTAAATTCTTATGACATCTTTTATGCCAGATCCTCAAATACTTTAAGACACTGCAACTGTCTCTTTTAGCTTAAAATCAATTATTTTAAAATCTAAAACTACCGCAGAAGCACTTAGATACAGTATAACACAATTACAGACAAAAAAAAAAAAAAAAGCTATTACGCGTTTACCATGCAAACCAAAAAATACTGTCTCTGGTACAAAAAGCTTAGAATTGCTTTCCAGAATACTTGTAAATTAAGCTAGCATAAAACTTGAAATTATTGATAAGCCCCCCCTTTTTAATATATTAGTAGAATAATTTAATTACCATGCAACAGTATTAAATATTTTCCAATCACTGTTAAATGCAAATAGCATAAATAAAATTATTTGCTTGTCGATACTAAAGTTACTGTTAACAAAGCATAAACAAGCGGGTCGGTCTTACGTTGCAGACAAGCAATCTCTTTTGGTTTCAACTACATCAATGGTCAAATACGCCTGCTTGACCAAACCTGCAAGGCACACCCTATTTGGCTTCATGCAAAATCTGATGGATTATAAATTGATTAGTTCATACTAGCCCTCTGAGCCAATCCCGATGACTTTTCATTGTGCAGATCACCAATTTTTACCAGATTCCTTTTGCTAGTTTACCAGTGGAGATGGGAATGAGTGGATGGGAAGGACAAAGCCTTTACCGCTTCACAGAGGAAGCCAGAAGACTTTCTACTGCCTCATGCAAGGTAAGCACCCTGATTCTGCCCTCTGCGGAAGTAACATGCCTTTATTCTTCAGCCAAGACAATCTCAAAACAAGTAACTGAGCTTTGCTATTGGTAGTTGTGATGAGTTCAAAAAGTGGAGCTCAATACATGTGTTACATTACAGTCGTAAAATTACAAAAACAGTCAGAAGAGAGACAGACAAATGGCTGTGTTATCACAAAAACATATTTGACTCCTAGCACAGTCCTTACTCTAAGTACTACAGCTTATTTCTGGGAATGAAATAAACATAGGTTATGGTATAACTTTCTTTGTAAGAGTGCTATACACATTAAACCAGTATGTACTAAATGAAAATTAAGAAATGGTTAAAAAAATGAAGCACTTTCCAGAAAGTGTGCTAGCAGAATTGAAAAAAGGCAGGCCAAAAAACACAAAACTATGCTAAGCTTCCATGGAGATAGAAAATACTGCAGTACTTTCAATAGCCCTGTTTGGTCGGGAAAGCTGGCACTCCTCCGTTTGCAAGGAAATGTGCAAGCTGATGAGGCTACTTAGCAGAAAGCAAATTTGAAAAACCAAACCAAACAAAGAGAAGCCTCCATAATTTGGTTGGTGCTCATTGGCAGACAGAGTTTTAGATACGCTTCTTCTTCAAATGCCTTTGAACCTTCTTAGAATTCACTGCTTAAACGCTGGAGGCTTAAAAGGCTTTCCAGTACCAACTCCATTTTAAATCCCTAGATAAGAGGCTGTCACACATTGTGCAAATGAAGTATATGTGTGAAGGGAAAAAACAACACAAACATTTTTAACAGCTTTACAGATGATGGATTAAAAGTTATTTAAAATTAGGATTTCAGTCACAATAATTCTAGGAGACAAACTATTAACCTTCTATATAGAGGAGGGAACTGAATGCTCTGAAACTCTGGAATATTCAAGAGAATTGCTTACAGCCATAATAGCAGTCAACAGATTCAGACTCCTGAAATCCAGCCTTGGATGCCAATTAGCATATTGGTACAGGCTGTGATCTGAAATGCCTTTTCAGAAACATCTACGTATCTAGAAAAAACAGTGTACAATATTAAAAAAAAAAAACAAAAACTTTATAACTATAACTAGATTAATGGAAGTAATTGCCATTAAACTTGGAAGCAGTATTGCTTCATGCTTTATTACCTAGCACAGGAGGAATCCGGCCTTCAGCAGTTTTATTTCCAATTGCCAACACAAATTATAGTTTGTGGTATCCCAATTCCTCCTTGTTTAAATTGGAATACTGTTTAGCAATCCACAGAAGTCATCCAAAGGAGAGATAACCTTCAGAAACAGGACACTGTACCCCAAACAACTGATGCAAGTCCTATCTTTCTTGATTGCTTCACTCACTAAAGACCATCAGAACACAGCTGTGTTAGGCATTATTGGTTCCGATTGTACTCACTGGTGAAAGGCTGCCATCGTGTTTTCCAGGTTCTCTCCAGCACCTACAAAAATAACAAAAAACTAAAACATGTACAAAACCATTTTCTTCCCCTCAATCCCAGTGGAAAAAAATAAAAAGTAATGGATTTAAAACGTATGCATTTTGAGGAAATATTTGGAGGAATGAGTATGAAGCTAGAGTCAGAAATCCCTGTTGCTGCCAACCTACAGAGGAGACCCAAGAGACACAACTTTCTCAAGGTTAAACAGCTAAGTAAAAAGAAAAAAAAAATAGAAGACTCTTATCTTGGATTTGTATAACACTTTGAATATACAAAAAGCGTTTATTTTACCAGAGGTTGGGTGCCCTGTTTTTCCTTAAAGTCATTGCATTTGCCTATGACAATACGCTCCACAGTCGGAGGAACAGTATATGCAAAATGTCTATTTCACAGTTAGAGGAGTAAGACGAGGAAAGAGGACAGAAGGAAAAAAAACCAAACCAACCACAAAACAGGGAAAAAAGTGCCCAAGACTCTCTAAAGCTGGTATTCCCTAAACGCATAACCCGGTTGATGCTCAGAGAGGTGACAACCTCTTTTTTCAGTGCAAGGATACTTCCTGAAACAGCACAAACCCATCAGTAAAGGCTTATGCTGCTGGCAAAGGGAGGTGTCACACACAAGGAATGAAACACACATCAACTCCTGTTAAGAAATTAAAGGACAAGCAAATTAAATTTTCTCTCAGGCAGGAGTAAACTCTGTAACTCTGAAGCCATCATTCTCTACATAAAAATTGTGCCTGGTTAGGAACTGGAAGAGGTTGTGCCCTCTCCCTCCCTCAGGAAATAGGCAGTATCACGTACTGGAAACCAAAACAACTTCAGGAAGATACATGTACTAATGAGGGTATCTATGCAAATTTTGACAACTCACTGGCAGCAATGAATGACAGACTTTGTAAACAACAATTATAAAAGCTTCAATTAAGGCCTTGCCCATTAACAAGACCTTACCAGTACATACTTATTGGTGTTTAGTTACTTAATTAAAGCAATGCAATTCTATGCAAGAATAACCAGCAATTTAAAATCATTGTTATGAGGTTAGCTTGCATTAGCAAGTTTACAAAGAGAGAGACTTAACTGCCTTCATTTCATAATGACCAAATCCGCATGGTTTAACAGAAACCAATACAGTCCACAGCAGCTTCTGAGATCAGACATCCACCAATATTTCACGGAATTTCACTGCAGAACTAGGAATACGCTGAGCAGCAGAAGTGACCGACAGCTAGAGGAGAGCATGAGAATCACATCGTGTACTTACGATGATCGCCCAACGGATGGGAAATACTTGCATAGGACGTGGATGATTAGTTGTAAGTTACGTGAAATAAAAACTGAGGTTTTAGATAAATTATCAACTGTGACAACACAGCACATACATCCTGAACAGTAAGAGAGGGGGGGGAAAATAAGTGAACAATTATTTTTGGAAATTTCTTCCTAACATTCCTGGGCAGAAATTTCCAAAAATAAAACTTTAAATTACTATGCTAACAAGTCACATCTTAGGGAGGTAGGTATGGCAAGTCAAACCAGTTGGTAACAAAACACCTGACTTGCTGAGTTTTGGGGAAATGAGGAAAAAAGCTGTGAGATCAGCTTAAACAGGAATTCTAAATCAGCAACATGGCTTTCACAAACCACACCACATTCAGAAAAGGGAACTAGGACAAGCAAGTGATTTGATGTATTGAATCATTTTCCTTCCTTAAAAATGAAAAGGCTGGGCCGAATGAAGGGCTTCTGACATTTACTTAAATGCCCCTCCAGATTAATGCGCTGTTGCATTTTCCATGCAGAAATTACCTTTCCCAGCATACTTCAGCATCCTGCGAGCCAAAACGGACACTTCCAACATAATGATCACAGACTCTAACCTTGAAAGCACCACCATGGGACAAGAGGGAGTCAGTGCCAAGCACTGGCTCAAGGAGACGACCCTTAGAAGTTTTGTTGTTTTGGGATTTTCCCGCCAATGTAAGCAAAGAAGTCCATTAGGAAGAATGTTGGCAGCAGGTCAAGAGAGGTGATTGTTCTCCTCAGCACCGGTGAAACCACACCTGGAGGGCCGGGTCTGGTTCTGGGCTACAAAGTACAAGACAGACATGGATCTACTGGAACAAGTCCAGAGAAGGGCTGTGAAAATTAAGGGATGAGAGATTCTTGCATACGATGAGAGGCTGAGGGTGCTGGAATTGTTTAGCCTGGAGAAGAGAGGCTCGGGAGGATCTTACCAACATGTATAAATACCAGACGGGAGGAAGTAAAGATGATGGAGCCAGACTCTTCTCAGTGGTACCCAGCGAAAGGACAGGAGGCAATGGGAACAAATAGAAATACAGGAAATTCAGTTTATAAACATAAGGAAAACTCCTTTTTTCTTTAAGAGTGCAGAAGTGAAAAAGTAATTCAGGGATGCTTCAGGAGATAAGAAAACTCTTGCATGAACAAAGAAGCAAAATCAAAACCCACAGGCTTAAAAAACTTCACATGCAAGGCTTCATCTCAGAGAGGAAAAAGCCAAACAAGTTAAGCATTACCTTGATCTCCGAAGATAATAGGAGTAATGCAATAGGAAACCTGACACAGCATCTAAAGCTACAGCATGACTAAACCCTGACGAGAACTTAAGTCCCACAGGAATTTAAGTTACAAGGTAAACACTACAGAGAATAAAGAGTAAGTGATCTTCAGTCTCATAGTACCCGATGAGCAAAAAGCTGACGAGATGTTAAGGGTTGTAACTTGTACCGTAGGTGTTTCACAATATACATGCAGACACTAAACAATTGAAAGACCATGGACTTTGTCTCTGAACACCTAATCAATAATCCTCTCATTGAGTAAGGCTTTCCTGTTCTAATGGTGCTTAGCACAACTGGCGGAAACACTTGCATTCCAGGCTTAGGTCTGTGTATTTTAACTAAGGTCATTGCAAAGAAGTGAGAACAAAAGAATATTAAAGAGATCATACCAAGTTCCAACAAAGTCATCGGCAAGTTTTTAACAGCTTGCAAATTAACAAACAGGTAAAAAAACAAAATTGAGAACATTTGTTCATTGAATTAAAAATACACACCTACCATGAAACAGCTAATACACACAGTCCAAACCAAAAGGTGCATTTCATGCTATACTTAAAACTATAAAGAAACTTAATCTGTTGTATGAACTAAATGAAAGAAATGCAAGTAAAAATCTGTAAGAGATCAGCTCTAGTTTTTGTATTTTAATAATTCAAAGCAGTAGCAGTAGTTAAGGACCATTGGCTAGAACTGCGATCAAACACTGCAGAAACTGTCACTAGATGCCCCATTGAAACCTGTTTAATCTCAGCATCTGACAGATTTCACACAGAATTTCGGGAAAAAACATTTACTAGAAAACTATTTTCACAAATTGAATGAGGCAGCAGGGAAAAGTGCAGAACTGATCTTCGAAGAACAGGAAAATACAACTTGCTGTATTTTTTTCCTCCCAATGCTCTGGAAAAGGTAGAAGAAACTTTAAAAACACCTTCTCCCTATTTTAGACAGAAGCAACCAGCCTACCCACAAGGCCTTGGCACAAGGTGTATGGAGGGGACAAGACTCTGAAAATGGGATGGGGTTTATGATGGCACTGAACGGTCTCCAACAGCAAGAACAGAGTCACAGCAACCTGCGTGGCTTCTGAAACCAGAAAGCAAAGCAAACAAGCAGTTAGAGGCAAGAAGATCGATCTTTTGTACCTGACCTAAGCTACAGCCAGCTACCTCTCTCGTTAGGAAGAGAAATACCACAATACAGAGCCATTCGGAAGAAAAATTATATAAATTTGAGAGGGAAACCACCACGATCGACGTCAAACAACCCGATTTCAGCCGATGCGTTTGGAGTTCGGACATTAATTCAGCTTTGAAATCAAGCACTGGTCAGCAGGTGGCACCTAAAATTAGGTTGCGGGAGGAAGGTTTAAAGGGAGCCCGCTGCCAGCCACGGGAACCGCGCAGGAGCCCTCCGGCACCCTCCCGACGGGGAAAGGTCCGTCCTGAGGGAGCGGGGA